AACCAGCAGGGTAGCATGGTAACTTTACTGGTAGAGAATCACGTCTTCAAGTATAATTTCTTTACATAAGCAAGCAAAAGTGTTCAAATGCATTCTACTTTATTTGTTTGTATGACATGGTTACTTCAACGTAGTGAATAAGCTTGGTGATACAAGACTCAAAAGGTGATGTGTGATGAAAGGAAGATGAATTCCAAGGATTATGGCTCATGTTCATGATAAATTCTCCAGGTGCAGATTAAGTAATCTGAACTGAGGTTTCTTCCTCCTCTAAATGAGACTATGGCCTTCATAAGACTGCTTTAAACAACAACCAAAATTATCAAGTATTATAAAATACAAATTTATCTCTCAAGCTTAAAATCTAGGTAAAAGTAAAGCTACAGACATATCTGTCATCTAAGAATTGACTATCTGAAGATCTACAGAAACATGCTTTGAGAATTTAGAATCAATGAGTTTTCTTTTAGGTAGCAAGATTGGGGGAGGGTCCTAGAAAGGATGCATTAGTTACTGTAAGACAGACCTTGAAGAATGCATAAAATTTAGTATTGAACCTGAACTATGAACATTCCACAAGCAATGTTATTCAGTAAGGAGTACATGGTCGTGAGAATTAGTGTTCACTGTCAGCTTGACAGAATCTAAAATCACCTGGGAGATAGACATCTGAGCATGCCAGGAGGTGATCAACTTTATTTGGTTAATTAAGGTGGGAAGGTAGTGCCAGGGCTTGTATCCTGGACTGTATAACTGGAAAAGAGGAGCTGAACAGCAGTGTATATTCATGACTTTGTTTCCTCATCACAGATATGCTGTGACCAAATCCATCAAACTCCAAACACCGTGACTTTCCCATCATGACAGAATGTACTCTTGAGCTATCAGCCAGAACAAATCCTTTCTCCTTAAGTTATTTTTGCTAGGGTACTCTGCCACAGCAACAGGAAAAGAAACAGGGGTTTAGCAAAGAACCACCTTGCTTTCTTCTGTGGTTTCTGAGTCGGAGCCTCTACCTCTAAAGCTAAGCCCTCCCTTTACTCCAATTTGCGTCAGTGACTCTCAAATAAAATGTGTTTCCAGTACTTTGTGAGCAAAAACTCCTGGAAACAAGCTGTATCTGCAGAGTGACTGACTAATGAGGATTTTACTATTATGGAGGGACTCGAAAGCCCAGAACACTGAAGGACTGGAAGCTAATTACCTTATCTTGGGTGAGTTCTAGCCCTCTGGAACAGCCATTCCCAGCCCATCTGTGTCTGAACTGACAGCTAATAGAAACCTTTCAGAATCTATTACCTTAGCAGACCACTAGCTCCTAGCAGCTCAAAAGTTAAGCATGTCATCAGATAGCATCTTGCATTTTGGTCCGAAAGAAAACCTCCCACATTTGATGTGGCTGGATCTCTGACATATTTTAAACTGGCCTTGAGCTATAACTTTCTTTGTTCTATAAAATTATGAAACGTCATGAAACTGTTTCTTTGTTGGAGCATGGAATATAGGGTAACTTACATCTGTGTTCCTGGGCCACGGTCACTTAAAATGGCTCCGGCATGAATGAACTACTTCTTTTAACTTTTCTTTTCTAAGATAAAAGCTGTAGTTTTGTGTCAACAGTTTCCTACACACACACACACACACACACACACACACAACTTCATGCAGAGAAGATAATTATATTTGAGGACCCAGATTTCCATGTCCTCGATTTAGTCACTTAACTGAGGGGCTACCTATGAGAAAAGGTTCATTCTCATTTCCAACGCAATAATCTCTTTGGTTCTGCAGCTTTTCCAGATCCGGTCACTTGGCCTTACAATTTCATTTCTGGATAACAATTAAAGCTTTTTAAACAAATCTGAATGCAGAGAGAGGCCTTTTTTGTTAGTGGTTTACCATATTCTTATTAAAGTAAAGTTAAAGAAACAAAGAATTTCAAGAGAAGAGAAGCTGTTAGGATTGATTTTAAAATGAGGTTTTAAAACTAATCTGAATGCAGAGAGAAGCCTTTTTTGTTAGTGGTTTACCATATTCTTATTAAAGTAAAGTTAAAGAAACAAAGAATTTCAAGAGAAGAGAAGCTGTTAGGATTGATTTTAAAATAAGGTTTTAAAACTACAGTAAAATGAAAGCCCTGCAGCAATTCTAGGCAGTATAATGGAAATCACTGCAGTCTTTTTCTCTGGTGTATTTTGAAGAATAAAAGTTGATTTTCTCAAAGAGAGTAGCACTGAGGGAAAACAGCTGGTGGTGGGCCATGATTTACCATTCACCACGAAAATGAGGCCATCTCTACCTCTCAGAGCCATTGTTTATTTGTGCAATCAGACACAGATTTTTACTTACACAAAGTAAAAAGGATGCAAGATACAGGGACAGATTCCAAACAAGTGTTTCAAAGGATACGGTATGAACATAAAAGTCAAATTCTCCTCTAAAATATGGCTGAAACAAAACTGTGTAGAGAAACGAGCTTCCACATCCTAGCAACAGCTCACTCACTTCAAACAAAACAAAATACAGCAAAACAGCAATTATGAAACCCAGTGTGCCTGTGATAATGTAACTGCTTATCAACCCAAGGGCAAGTTCATGGAGAAGTATCTTCTTTTGTAAACCACAACTCTTACAATAGTAAAACCCACCCAGGTCACTGAAAGGTAAAGACTGATCTTTTAAATTCTTTTAACAGGAAATGTTACTGGAAGATAAATAACATTTTCCATATGCCTGGGGAAAATTCCTTCTGAAATCAACAATAAAATGCAAAGACTTTGACAGGGTAAAATTCCATACACATCTTAAGCTACAGGACAAATTGATTTTTATTTAAATGCCTCTATATTTCCATTCCAAACTGTCTTTGTTTTCTAGGTAGATTCAAATTATGGCTTTTTCTTGTGTACCTAAGATCTGCCAACTGTCTAGATGGGAAGATGAGGAGAGGAGCCTTGGTGGTGAGTCAGACAGTCTTGTAATATTTAAGTGTGTTAAAAGCTACTTTTAAGTCAGATGATTCCTAAACACATGTTTCTTTTGAGATTATGGTCTAATTGGTAAAATTTACTCCCAGAATCTTCAAACTGTTTTGTACTGGGGAACATTTTATCCAATCCACTAAAAAATAGCTTAGGAAAGTAAATCAAGGACTTGGTTGGTACTCAAATGGGACTCTCTTGGGATGTCTTAGCCATTTACTGATGGGAGATCCTTCTGAGAATCACCAGGAATGACAGCATCATAAAATAAGGATTTATTAATGTTATCCCATTTTCTTTAAATTTCTGAAATCTTTCTTCTTGAGGTGGGGGAAAAAAGGCTTACAGAGACGGTTAAGGCACTTGGTTGAAAAGATATCCTTTTAAAGTAAAGGGGGAATGGAGGAAAATAGCTATGCCACATTTCAAAAGAGTTATTTATTATAACCCAGACTTCTGGAAACTGCTTATAAATATCTGCATTTTTCTATCCTTGTAAGGACATTAATTCTTAACTTTGGACTTTTCCTCAAAGAATTATTGTCTCAAAGAGTTTTTGTTTGTTTGTTTGGGGTGCTTTAAAAACTCATTTTTTAGGTTCACAGCAAAACTGAGCAGATGCATAAAGTTCCCCATAGTCTCTGTCTTCCCATGTCCTGCCCAGCCCCTCACTGTCAACACTGTGCTTTGGGGACGGCCATTTATGAGACACACTGGCACATCACTATTTCCAAAGGTCAGATTCCTCATCAGGGTTCACGTTTGGTATCCAGTATCTCGTGGGGCTTAACACATACATCCGCCAAGACAGTATCCCACACACCAGTGACACTGTCTTAACAACCTTCCGGTTTGCCTATTCATCTCTCCCGCCCTTCAAGGAATCCCCACTTTCATATCAGTATTTCTAAGCAAAGACATCCTCCCATTTGAGACATGCGCCAAAAGTAGTTCTTACATTAAAAAATCAACGAGTTCATTGTGTTCTTCGACAGAAGACTGCACAGCACGTCGGATGTTTTCTAAGTGGCAAGTACGGTTTGCCCGAAAACATGCTAAAAGAGTATCAAACAGAAAGAGACCACAGCGTGTTTTGTATTTCCTGTTCTTGACTTCCCTTCTCAGTGCTGATTTCAATCAGGAGGCACCAACAAAGGCACTGTTTCCTAGGTTCAAATCTTTATTCGTCAAAAGCTTCCTAAAACTCATACCTTACAGTTGCGTACAGTTTTAAAAACCCAATTCCGGCACAAAACAGAAATTTCCTCCTAGAAGATGAACCGGCCACTGTAAGGCAGTAGGAGAAGAAAGTTTCCTCGGCTCGTCTCTTTCTTACTCTGCACAGCTTCCTTCCCTGTCTGATAGTGCACCGCCTGACTTCAGTTCGCTTCAAAGTCAACAGGCGCAATTCCCAGGGACAAGACCTTTAGGGTCGAATGTTACAATAGAATGTGACGCCGGCGTTCTTTTGGGTCATAGTCTGGTCCGCACCCCTTGCTCCCCGGCGACCTGAGATCTTCCCCGTCATCTCGGAGCTCCTCAGGTAGGGGCCATTAGCCTGGACGCCAGCGGCAGGGTGTCCCCAGGCGGGGCCGCCGAGCCCCCGCAGAGACCGCCCGCTGTCAACGTCCTCCCTGACTCGGGCCCTAAGTGAAACACACACACACACTCCCCCCCGCAGCCATCACCACTTCAGAAGTTATCAGCAGGCGCGGGTGTGAGGCTGTCACCCGTCGGCGGCCGCTGGAGAGCGCGCGGGGCCGCCGGGCCGCCAGGCGGGGGAGGAGGTCAGGGCCGCCACGGCCACCGACCCACCCACCCGGGCTCTCCGGAAGCGGTGGCCGCCGCCACCTCGCCAGGGCTCCCGGGAAGGCGTGGCCCACAGGTTCCCCGAAAGTTTCCGGCGCGGTGACGGCGGGTCGCCGCCCTGCAGGGACGGTCAAGGGGGGGTGGGGGGAGCCGGGCCCGCGACCCGGGCGCTCAGGTGAGGCGACCGCGCCCGCCGGCCGCGCCACTCACCTTCTTCATCTTGGTTTCCAGGTCCATGCTGGGCGTCGGAGGGGCTCGGTCCCGCGTCCGCGATCTCCGCTGCGGGAACTCCGGCGCCGCCGCCGCCGCCGCCGCCACTCAGCCTGCGCCCTCGAACTTCCGCAGCCCGGTTCGGCTGCCGCTGGGACCTGGAACAAAGAGGCCCCGGCAGCCAATGGCAGCGGGGCAGCGCCGGGCGGCCGCCAATCAGCGCGCGCCGCACGCACCTTCGCGGCCCGAGCACGCCGCTGGCAAGGTGAGGGGCGGGGCCTCGAGGGGCGGGGCCCTGCGGAGTTCCCCCCGCGCCCCGGCTCAGTTTCTCCGACTCCCAGCGCTGATGTGGGGTGGGGGGTTGGGATGGGGGTCTGAGTCCAGCTGCAGACCATGCCCGGACCTTTCCATTCCGGTGGGTTGTACTTTTGTGCCGTGGGGCCTTTCCATTCTGGTCAAGGGGAGTGATCCTCTCAGTACCAACTTCTTGGCTGACTTTTAGGGCAAGGAGGGACCTGGGAGCTCCTTTAGGCATCCCAGGGCTGAGCTGTGGGCCTGGATTTCACTTTTTAATTGTGGAGATGTACGTTTCTCAAGTGTTTTTCTCCAGAGTCCCGAACACTGCCAAGGAATCTTCTCTTACATCCTTAAGGCCAGGTTAGATAAGGCTCACAGAACTAGAGGAGGGAAACTTAGCTTGCCTTTTGAACCTGCTAAGTGGAACACAACGAAGCTGCCCTTGCTTCTGGTCAAGTCTAGTTTCAAACTCCAGTCTCACGGAGTCTGCATCAGCAAGTCTAGTCAGTAGCTATTGCTCTGAAGATGTCAGTGTGGAGGGTTGTGGCATGGGGGATCCTGAGGATTAATTTACTTCACACATCTTGCAGGGATCTGGAGGCCCCGAATCGCAGGTACCTCTTAAATGCCTTAGCATGTTGGAAACAGACCTAGTGCTTGAGTCAGTAACTCTTCCAGGATGTGGAACTGAGGAAAAGAAGCTTAGGAAATAAGCATGATCCTTGGTGTGTGTGTGTGTGTGTGTGTGTGTGTGTGTGTATGTGTGTGTGTGTGTATGCATGTGCAGGTTTGCATGTAAGTGTAAGAGTCCAGAAGAATAGGTAGGACTTTCTGGGGTTGGAGTTCCAGGCAGCTGAAAGCCAACCTGCTTGGATGTTGGGAACTGAAATCAGGTCCTCTGCAAGAGCAGCAGGAGCTCTTAACTGAACTATCATCTCTCCAGCCCCAGTTCCTACCCAGACGAAAATGTTAGTGGCTAGGTATCAGGTAGCCTCCTAATCTGCCATCTACACATACATATGCATATGTTTCTTAAATATATGCATGCGATATTAAAAATAAAATCTCCATATAATGCAGATATTTGGGTCCATTTCCTTTTACCTCTGGAAATTTGGTAACTAAAACACCTCAAAGTTCACTTTAGCCAACACTTTTCTGTACTTTGTTTCACTTGATAACTCGTTAACAGAGTGCTGAGTTGACATGAGTATGTTTTCAGTATCCAGTTCACGGAATGAGCAGAATAGCTTGTGATAATTTTGGTTTCTATTGAACTGAAGTAAAGCATCCTAAGTCATTTTCCCAAACCACCTGATACATTTGGGTCTGCAGAGTCTGCCCGGTGTAAGTGCTAATCGGCTCTGATGAGGTCTAGCCACGATAACATTTCTGCTTTTCCAGAATGCTTAACAGTTAGAAGATGTCCAGTAAATCACTTTAAAATAAGCCATTAAGCAAATATTGTGACACAAACTGGGGCCTTTGTTTGTGAAATAGCAGAGATGATAGCAAGAAAAATGATATGGAAGTGTCAGGGTTTTTTACCCCCATCAAGTTTTCTTTCTCTTCCTTGCAAGCCTTCCCAATGTCACTCTGTATGGGTAGCATTAACAAGGATGAGCATTGGAATTCAGACGTTTCTAACTGGAGTTTTCTTTCTGGCAATTATAGATTATTGTATCATTTGTAGAAAACAAAATGGGGTAGATCAATGTTAAGAGAATTGGACCAATGCCTCTTATCAATTCCTTTAGTGTTAAACAGAAATGTCAAGGAGCTAGAACTGGCATCGTCTGATGGTTGGATAGAGCTGATGGCAGAGGAGTGGACAGATAAAAGAATTTCTAGCATGATCATCTTCAGAAGATTCAGGAAAAACTAGTATATGGGACAGGGCAGAATTTTATGTGGCTTTGCATTTGTCACTGCAGAGATGGACAGGTAAAAGGTATGTTTTGAGTTATTGGGCTTGAAATTGGGATGTTGAAGTGAAGCACCAAAATATGATGTTGACAGATAAAGCCTTCAGAAAGCTAGAATCCTGCCTTGGTTAGCTAAAACTGTGTGAAAACAACAGTTTAGGGGACAGTAAAATAGGAGATACAGAAAACAACCGATAAGCCAGGCTAAACAGGACCCAGACAGAAAGGAGGTGAAAAGCTAGTCGAAGGATAAGACAGAAGGTGAAGAAGTCAAATCCATACAGTTAAGAAAGGAAATTCAGGGAAGGTTAGCAAACAGTGTGAAAGTAGAGAGCAAGATTAAGTGTGAAATGTACTTTAACAAAAATCATTGATAACTTTTGGGGCGTTCACTGTCGGTGAATTGTAGGGCAGATATCACTTAACAGTTGTAGCTCCCTTTGTGCCTACTAAATTACTGTGGTTAATGTTTGACTTGGCTCTACCACAAAATTCATGGGAAATCAGCCAAACCCATAACCTTCTCCAACAGAGAAGAAATCAATCCAATAGAGGCAACAATGTACTGGGTCTTGAAGGTCTTTTTCCTTAGAAACATAAGCAGATATCCTACATTTTGCATACAAGTGTGTGTGCGCACACACAGGCACACACACACACACACACACACACACACACACCAAGATGTTCTTTATGTATGCCAATATGTGTTACAGTACAAATATGTAATATTTTTGCACTTAACCTTAGGCAGTGGGTTAATTAGATATAATTACAGTCTCTGATAAGGAGAGTGAATGACCCATTCCTGTACCCCTGTGCTGTCATGGACCTAAGCAATGTAAGCTTGCCTAAGGTGTTTCATTTGTTCTGAAGTTGTGTACAGCTTAGCAGTGCTGTTCACAGATGGGGAGGTAGGCTCGTGGGAATAATGAACCTACGTAGAAAGAAAGTACACAAGCAAGGACGGGAGAGTGCGGTATGGGTGTATGCCAAAGCCTCTCGGGTAAGTGTTCCTTGGCTGAATATTAATAAGTGTTGTTTAACAATATTTGTATTAATTCTTCGAGACTTTCATAGGATGTATTTTGAAAATATTCAAATATTTGTACTCCCTTCCCTACCCTCTCCCATCACCATTGGCTCCACCCTCTCCATAGAGTCCATTTGTGCTTCCCAGCTAGCGTTAGGAGTGGGGCCCTGAAATGTGGTAGACCTACCAGGGCTCACATCCTTAAAGAAAACTGACTTTTCCTCTCCCAGAAGCTATCAAATGCCAATAGCTCCTCAGCTAGTGGTGGAATTTCTGCCCAGCTACCATGACCCCATGCTGAGATTTTGTCTAGCTGGAGCTTGTGTTGTAATTAAACTCTTTTGGATTTCAAGTAATGGAAACCCAGTTGAGCTAGTTTGATAAATTAACAACAAGATGGCATTACGTTACTAGGAGATAAAGTTCCTTATAAAACTCAACAGCTAAAATGTATCTGGGAGTAGATGCAGGCACTATAAAAACCAAAAACTCTGCTGCTCTCCAGGGACCTATGAACTCTCATCTTGCTGTTTTTCTGTATATCAGCTTTAATTCTTTTCCTTCCACAACTGTCTTCTGTACGCCCTGATATCTCAAAACTCAGTATCAGCTCTCAAGTTGATATCTTCTTTGTTTAAACAGACAAACAAACAAACAAACAAACAACAAAAACCCAGAAGATTGGTTCCAAACCAGGCAATAGAAAAACTCCCAGAGGAGTCTGGACCTCTGATCCAATTACCTCGGGCTGATATGGGGGTAGAGGCCTCCACCGGACATACAAACTGACATATAGAACATCTCTCACAGAAAGGAAGGGTTGAGAAATTTCAAAATACCTCCAAAGACAAGCCAGTAGAAGGGTAGGTAGGCATCCAAGCTGAATCCCCTATGACATAGGGTAAGGGCCAAATGAGGCAGTGATGGGACCGAAGAGTTAGAAGGACCTGCCAGTGATGATAAAGAGGAGGTAGCGTTGAACTTAGAAGGAAAAGAAATCTGTTAGGACTCCTTCTCACAACTTAGAACTGTGCTGTGTTTCAGGTATGTAGATCTCATGCCTTCCCTCTGCACGAAACAGAAGAGGAAAAGAAAGTGAGCTTGAGACAGGCAATGAGTTCAGTTTTGTATGTACTGAATTTGCAAGGCCAATGGAATCTGGTTCTAGTAACCAGTAGAAAGGTTGGAGTTTGAACGTACAGAAGATATGTACCCAGGCCTGCTTGCATAAAAATATATTCATATGCAGCTAGAGAGATGGAATAGTGATTCAGTGCACTTGCTGCTCTTCCGAGGACCTGAATTTGGATCCAACAGCTGCTCATAACTACTTCACACGTGTGCATATATAATAACATGTAGTCTAAACACACCATAAATATAAAAAGGTATTATCGGAATAGATGAGGTGAGATTTCAAGATTTCAATGATGACTAAATCTTTCCACTTGTTCGTGTGGACTCTAAGTCTCCTCAGAGAAAATAATCATTTAACACTTGTCACAGAATGTTTATGTGAGCCTTGTATGGCTATTAGGACTCATTAGCAGCTTGGATAGCATTACAGACTGTCCTATAGGAGACATACTTCAATAGAAAACAGGCACCAATCTATCTCAGAACAAACCATCCTGTGGAATGCTTTTTAAACTGCTCAAACACTACAGCTTGGCCTAGTGAGTAATGGATGATCCACATAATATAGATTGAGCACAGCTACAAAACAATGATACTCAAGAATTTTTCTAACAGTTACATCATAGGAACCAAGAGAACATGGAATTGTATATCCATTATTCTCATAACCATGAAAAAATACCATGTACTGTAGGCATAAGGTTATTGTGTAATTTAAATGCTGATTTCTCTA